TATAGATGTAAATCAAACATAAGGTAGTTCCTTTTCCTAACATTGAGGGTTTGACATACATTATAAAACTGTACTGCTATGAATGGCACATGATGTGACCACTGCATGGAACAGGAGATAAACTGAGCAGTAAACATGACCAGAAAACATTTCAGTATTTGATGTTGAAGAGGCCTCAGAGATGACAGCGACGCTACAGACCGGGACCAATTCTGACACCATGAGCCTCTGGGCATAGACGTTCAAGAGAGATTTTTGTCTCTTTGGATCTTTTTCTGGCTTTATATTGTCATATTCGGATCATTTTTGCATATATTTGTGGTAATTTAACATCTTTCTGTAGTCATTTGTGTCTTATGTTAATTTTTATGTCCTTATCATGATTGTAGGGTTTTTGTCTGGTAATTTTTAGTGTTTTTATGCTCAGTTTACATGTTTCTGTGATTGCATCTTTTTATAGCTGTTTCATAAAAGAAAAGCTGCTAATCATTTTAAACAGGGGTGCTGACCCAGAGGACTCCTGGCTCCTTAGGTTTAATGAGTAATCCACCCATGACTACTTTGCCATAGTCATAGAAACACCAATGCATGGGTTTTGGTGTAGGCTTAGCTATCTTTTACATTGGTTCTAATCACATTGTACTCATAAGTCAGTGATGAGATCTAGGAACACTTACATTTCTAGAAAAGCAGTCAGTGTGATTGTGAGACATTTTTTCAGACAAAACTCCAGATTCACCGGACACATTAGAATTTGAAGAAGATAGTGATCAGCAAAATTATTATCCCATTGTTGAAAGTGAAAAGATCGTAGCAGTTTACTGACTGACTTTCTGCCTACATCTTGCATAAATTTTGACCTCATGACCTTATTTACTGTACTTGTGCAGTGAGGGATTGTTTCCAGTACTTTGCCCCTAAACACACCGGTTCAGTTCTTTTAGTGTTGTTACAAAAATGTGGGTTTATTTTTTTTATGCGTTTTCATTTGTTCTCAGCCCTCATTTACTGCCTGTGTCTGCTGTTAGACTAAATCAAGGCAAACATTTTAAAAACATAACGAAAGAAATATCAGCTCATTCACAGACGACCCGACTGTCGAGGCTATTTCATGTCTTGACGCCACCTTGTTCCCAAATGTCAACACAACTAACATTTACAATCAAAACAGTGGTGACAACTATAGACTTTATAATTTAGTGTGAATTATTTATGCATATATTATTTCTGAGAAGGCCGTGCACACTCAGACTGAACATGCTTCCCTGAGAACTCTCATTAAGCAGCTCCTGGTTGAGGTTTACTGTCTTCACTGTGGATTTGAGGAGATTAAGTTGAAGTAGCTCCTGACATTAACATAGTGAAAAGGTATGAAGCATCATTATGAAAGGAGCCTGGAGTCAGTCTTAACCGCTTATTGCCTCTGGGGAAGGAAGAATAAGAGGATTTCCACTCTTGTGTTCATTAACATTCTGTATGATCTTTTTGTGTTTATGGTTTTTCTTCTGTAAATTCAGTCATTATTTTAGTTATATCATGTCAGCTGCTTACAGCAATGCAAAGTGATTGTCCTTTTTATTCCTCTGTAGCTTAATTAATATTAAAACAGCTTTAGAAATGTGCATTTTTACAGAATAAAGCCATACTTAAAATCAACACTTTTTTTTTTTTACGCTGAAAACTCGCCTGGTGCTGCAGTCTCTCTGCAGTACTCTGCAGCCCTGTCCTGCTTCCAATAAAATGTTTCTGCTTGACAGTCACTGCTCCATGAGTCGCCCCACAGGACTACAAAGACTTGTGCTTATTAAGCGCTTTAGCTAACAACCTTTTTTTACATCCAGTGTGCATCTGCAGATGATGTGCATGAAAAACAATGTGTGTTCTGATCATTGTTTTTTCTGACGTTGCTGCTGCATCAAGACTCATGTGCTTCCATATTCTGTAGTCATCAACCGCCATGAAAGTTATTGTAGTTAAAACTGTTTACACAACCTTTAGTCAAGGACGAGCTGACACAAACCCTGCAAAGGACACAGTTGTGTCTCTGTCTCTACCTCTGCACCCTGACTCACATCTGCAGGACCAAGTGTTCAAGGACCGCTTTAAAAAAACGGGTGCAGATGTGATCATTTATTGGTGAAATGTCATCTGTGCGGTGGTCTGTATCTGCGATACAGTGGACTTTGGTTAGTAACGGACACAAAGAGCTGCAGTGACTCAGCTGTTTCCACCTGCAGATAAACTCTGCCTGGTAACAGAAGCTGCAGAACTCGATGGAGGCAGCCTGGAGATGATTCATGTGTCGGATTGTTTACCAAATTAATTTAGAAATCAGATCTTGATGCTTAATGTTGACCCTGAACTCTTACAGTGTTGATGCTTGGTAACGATAATGAGGTAATGTTGTGAAAACTGAAGAGTCCTTAAGGAAAACGAAGTCATTGTGGGGGCTGAATGATTTCTAAACAGGAGATTTAATAAGCAAACAGAGCTGCATAGTCTGAGTGATGTTTAGTACAACTGAAACATTCACTCAGTTAACTAATTACTTCTTTGACAGAAGACAAACACAATTTCTTGTGATAGTTCATTAATCATTATTAATTATTCAATGATTAATCATTATTTCTTTAGATGCATTTCAAGCACTTATGTCAAACCTTTTCTGGTTCTTACTGCCTAAATTTGAGCATTTGTTGTTTTTCTTTATCATACATGCTATTAAACTATTAGGAGAAAAGTGAAATGCTGTTACCTGAGGTTTGTTCATCTCATTTCAACTCTACTTAAACATGTCAGGAAGCACTCAGGAAGGGAACACAGGGCTTGGCCCAGGCTTTGTTTATCCGGGCAGGAGAACTGCTGACCCAGACTGGGGATATTCTTGAGTGGTGCAAAGAGCACTCTGAGGAGCTCCCAAATCTGACCAACACATCCTCTGCAGAGGAAGCAGAGTTTGGAGACTCAGGGGAAGCTTCACCCATATCCAGGTCAGAGGTCACTGAGGTAGTCAAGAAACTCTTCAGCTGCATTGCGCCAGGTGGGATGGACATTTGCCCTGAGATGGCAATCGCTTTGGACACTGTTGGGCTGTTTTGGCTGACACTCCTATTCAGTGTCACATGGAGGTCAAGAACATTTTCTTTGGAGTTGCAGACCATGATGGAGGTTCCCATTTTTAAAAAGGGATTCATGCTGCTCAACATTCCCAGTTTATTCCTGCTTATTCAAGTGAGATTCCAATCAGTTGTCAAATCTCAGATTCAGGAGCAATAATATGTTCTCGCCATGAAACAGTAGACCAGCGCTTTACCCTTGCAATGTTCTTGAGTAGGTTATGGGAGTTTGGCTATCTAGTCCATATGTGATTTTGGAATCTGCTACGGTCGGCCCTTGTCTTAGATTCTGTTTGTGATATGAAATGAAATGAAATGAAATGAAAAATACTTTATTCATCCCAGAAGGGAAATTCAATGTCCATGGACGGGCTCTCCAGACGCAGTCAAAGTGAGGAGGATATCCAGTTTGGCAACCCTCAGAGTTGCATCTCTGCTTTTTGCAGATGACAAGGTTCTGTTGGCCTCATCAGACTGTGCCCATCAGCACACACTAGCATGGTTTCTAGCCGAATGTGAAGAATCTGAGGCCATAGTTCTCTACTGGAAACTGCTAGATTGCTCCCTCTGGGTCAGGGGTGACTTGCTTTCCCAGGTAAAGAAGTTTCATTACCTTAGGGTTTTGTTCATGAGTGATAGGAAACAGAAGCATGAGATGGACAGATGGATTGAGGCCATATCAGCAGTAACGTAATGGTGATATTGCGCTGGACTGTCATGGTGAGAAGGAAACTGAGACAGAAGGAGCCAGTCTCCATTTCCCAGTTGATCTATGTTTCCACCCTCACCTATGGTCATGAGCTCTAGGTAGTGACGGAGAGAATGAGATCATGAGTACAAGTGGCCGATATGAGTTTCCTCTGTAGGATGGCTCCACCTTAGAGCTAGGGTGAAGAACTTTGACATCCGGGTGGAGCTTGGAGTAGAGGAACCAACTGAAGTGGTTTGAGTATCTGACTAGGATGCCTCCTGGGCACCTTCCTTTGAAGGTTTTCCAGGCAGCTTCTGGGAAGAGACATGGGTGTAGATCCAGAGATTGCAAGAGGGATTACATATCTCATCTGTTCTGGGAACATCTAGGGATCCCCCAGGAGGAACTGGAAAATATTGCTTAGGTGAGGGATGTCTGTAATGACCTACTTAGCCTCCTGCCACTGTGACTCAACCCTGAATCAGTTGGGAAAAAAATGGATGAACGTATGTAGGTCCAAAGAGTGGATATTGAAAGTAGTCCACCAACTTCATTTGTTCAGCTAGATACTTAAGTATTTTATACACAATATTTTATTTAGGCTAATGACAAAAACTACATGTTTTCAAGGTTTTTGTCTTTAAAAACAGTGTCACCATCCTATTTCTTGGTAGTTCCTCTTTCACATATCTTTGACATTTCTTCATCTGCTGTTGGCCAGAAGCTGATACTAGCTGACTGTGTTCAGTGTATCAGTAAGGATCAAGAGTGTTTCTGGGTCAAGGTGCTTGACTGATGACTCAGCTGCTTAGTTTGAGGCTGCTGGAACTGTTCAGTGTCTGAGAGTGAGGTTACACTTCACCACCTGTGATAAAGAGGAGCTGTTGTCTCACTTCACTTCACCGCATCCTTGAGGAAAATTAAGCACTTCAGTGCTCCTGTTAGGAGGTTGGTAAATCTAATTATTTGAGTGGAGGTGGAAGAGTGTGATAGAAGACGGATAACAGGAAGATTTGATTTGTGCTGCTAGAATCTTTAAATGGTTTGGCAAGTGCAGGAAATGGGCTCTTCACTTGACTGTAAGCACAGTGTTCATGAGGTTTAAAATGAAGGAATGAGCTGCCATGCGGTGGGCAGGGCTGCGGTGGGCGAAGCCTGTGTTGTCACAGGGTCAAGTCTGCTCCCGGAGGACGAGCAGGGAGGACAGGAAATAGCTGATAGAGAAGTGTGACCCCTCCGTGCAGCTGCACTGAGAGAGGAAGCCGAGGAAGGGAGCGACAGAGCAGAGAGCGAAAGAGAGAAGCGACACTGATGCTTTTGACAGTGAGGCTGTGAGGCCGAGCGAGCAGTGCGAGTTAAACATCAGAGTTGCTGACATGAGTCTGTCTTCGGACTGTCAAAACAAGACCTTCACTCCCACGGGTGACATGTCAGCAAAGAACCAACGCAGAAGGAGGCAACTGCAGTCCAGAATGTAAGTGCACAGATGAATGTATGTTTGCTGACTTTATGGTTCAATGATGATGTAACTCCAGCCTCAAAGAGTGAAGCTGAACTTAAACTTCTAACAAAGGCATTGTAACTCAAACTGCACTTACTCACTCTGACTGTATCACATAGCGTTTCTCAGCAGATGTAGTTAAAAATAAAAGTAAGTGTTGTAGTCTGTAGAACAAGGCTGCAACAAACCATTAATTTTACTATTAAATATTGTATTGAATGAGTAGTTTCTTGGTGTAGAAAACTGTGAAATATAGCTATTACATTCCCCCTGCGAACAAGATGACGTCTTGTTTTGTCCCAAGAATATTAATTAAGGGCCGCTATGTGACTGTGTACCACTTTGTGCAAATTCTCACATTGGAGAATTTGGAACCATCAGATCTTCTGTATTTTGATCATTTTTGCTCAATAAATTAGTTAAAGGATTTACTGATTATTTTATTAGTTGGTGATTTTATTTTTAAATGATAAACAATCCACTAATTGTTAAAGTACTGACATTGAACTTAACAGAAAATACAGATAAGAGTTTATGGCACACAGAAGTTGCCACTAATGATGATTAATTTTATGTTTTATTATCAATGACTTGAGTAATCATCTTGTCTATAAAATACCAGAAACTGTTATGTTTGTCTGACCAACAGTCCAAAACCCAAAGATACTCAATTAAGAGACTTAATTAAAGCAGTAAATCCTCATGACAGAAAACTACAACATTGTTGTGTTTGATTGCACAAACCACAAACTGTGATGATCAGTCAGGTGGGTCAGCTGACTGGGAGCCCAGCTGTGTTTCACTTCTTCTAATTTCTGAATCTGAAACTTTTAAACTAAAAAAAATTTTTTTTAGAAAATCCCCCAAAAACCCAGCATCACAACTCAATGTTTAAAATACAGAAATTACATTAAGTTTCTCTATTGTGATCCACAGTATCCAGTAATGTACAGTACACAGTGTGCCAGAGGGATGTAGTAACTGAAATTCGCTCATTTCTCTTTAAGCTCTCTCTCAGTTCCCCAAATAAAACAACCCACATCAGTCCAGTTTATCACACTTCTGTCTCACTGGAGGCAAAAATCACTAATTTATTGCGACTTCCCTCTTTTCAAAGCCCGACAGTGAATCAAACCCCGACTGTCCCACATGTGACCGACGTCGTGTGTCGTGTCGACTTTTGTTTTTGTCTCTGTCCTGTTTGTCTGAGATGTTAGAGTTACTTACATCATCATCAGCATGAGAAACATACGGGTCTCAAACAGGACGGAGACGCAGACATGAGAGTGATTTGAAGTTTTAAAGTAGTTTTTTTTTGGTCTTAATGAAGCTGTGTGTGTCAGAGGAGCATCTCACTGAATATGTAGTTTGCCAAGAAAGTGTGTTTCACTTGTTTTTGTTTATACGTTTTTTGTTTTTTTTTTGCATATATGAGAAAGAAATAACTGAGAAATCAAGATCCTGCATGGCAGCCATTTGTTCACTCCAGTTAATCCTTCATCCCCCTGTGAAGCTAAACATCCATGTAGAGCTGTTTTTAATTGTTTTTCAAAGGTCTATATAGAAGAATTAATTGCTGTTTCCTAACTCTTAGTGCTGTATTCTGTGAAATCTGCTCTTTTGTTATGTTCGGTGTCGTAACAAAGCGGCTCAGTGATGTAACCCATTTTCTTTAATGCTTGCACCAATTTTCTTTGAATTTTTACTCAATTAGTAACAGTCTGGTCAAATCTACTGAGTAATTAATTCATTTTCTCTTTTGAGATCTTCTGTCACACTCACTTCCTTTTATGTGGACTTTTTTTTTCCCAACTCACATGCTTTTCACTTTCAAGTACAAACCTCTTCTGTGTTAACGTGATATTTCTGCAGGATGTGAAACTTAATTTAACAGTGAGTACATTGTCTTAAAGCTACATGAAAAGACTTTTATCTTTTAAAGTCAAAATCTATTATTAGAGTGACAACATTGTGAATATAGTGAATGGCGTATTTCTCTTTTTTGACGTGTGATATTAGGTTGTTCGTTTGTTGAGTGAAGCCTGTCATTTAAAAATATATACATTAATATTCTCTTTTATTACACGGCCTTTGACTCTTTACTGCGTCTGCACCTCCTCACCGTCGCGTCCCAGCGTTCATACCTGCTGATAACATTTGGAGAGAGGAGGAAAGCGTCATCCTGTGTGTTGATTAATCGCCTTTTCCACAGCTCTGACCTTTGGCTCACACTACTGTTCTTTAATCACACGTTAAAAATTCAATTTTGTCGCGTTTATAGCTGATAGAGTCCAGACTTAAACCCTGAATGTGATTAAATAAAAAAAAGAAGAAGAGGAGGAAGATTAAAGCCCTCATTTTGTCAATGTTTAGCGAGTTCTGTCACTTTCATATTTGACCTTGATCGTTTTCCAGAAACATCCTGTGCCTACCTTTACCTTGACATGAAACTCTTCATATTTAGGTGCCTGTAGCAAAAATAAAGACTGACGTGTGATTACGTTAATTAACTTAATTAATTCAGTTACTTTTTCTTCATGCAGTTCATCATTACAGCAGCTAAGAGCATGACATGTTCAATATACACAAAGCAAATTATACAGTCAGTTTTTATAGTAAGATGAAAACATTTGTCATTATGTATCCGTCCCTAATTAATATAGATGGCTCGGTCTAATCAGTGCTTCTTGTTGCTTTTACATCAACCTGTTTGAGGCCATTCAAGCAAACTTTAACACATGTGACCACTTTGTGTAGTTCAGGTTCTCTTTTGAATGTAAATAACTATTAAATCTCACTGCTAAACTGTTAGCTATTTAAAAAGCCTTTTTAACTTTGTTAAAATCGTAACACATATGCATGTCAGCGCTGTGACATTAGATACTGAAATCTAGTAAAACCAGAAGTTTGTTGAGTTGAATTTATTCCGTCTGTTCAAATGGTTTCCCGAAAAGAAGTGAGTTAAACAATGGAAACACATCGACCACAAACCACTGTTAGTCACACAATGCCCCCTTTTTTATCTGTTCGTTTCTATTTATAAAAATGAGTCCAGTTTCAGTTTCCATACTCTGCATGTTTCCTCGACATTGGGAAATAATAAATACATAGAATCTTTCATGACTGGATGACACAAACTGTATCACAATAAAATGTTTACTATCAGTGGATATCGATAGTTATTGATAGTTTTTATTGATCTATTTTTAATAAAGACCAACAGAATAAAAGTTTATTGGGAATATAACTACTGTAATAAAAAGGCACACAAGTAATCATTTTATTATTTGTATCACAATCTTTTTGTCACCAGGCGCTTGACTCTTCACAGCACTAAGTCCAACAAAGCAGGAGAAACACATGTATAAATGATAACATTAAAAATAGGCTGTTATCCACCGAAGGAATTTGTGGGCTGTTTTAGGACGGCCTGAACCTTATGTTTTCCCACCACAAGAACTGTCACTGTAGGGCGTCTTTCAAGGCCGCTTGTGATAGAGATAAAAGCAGGTACTTCCGAGTGGCCCTGAAAAACTGCTGGCAGATCTCGACGCTGATTGGTTAGTCTCTTAGGGAACAAGTGCCTTGTTTCTGCCCTCTTTGTCCTCAGCAAGAAGCGCTCTTCGCCATCTGCAATGTGAAATTCCCCATATAAACCAACATTTTAAACACTTTGTTGTTTTATTTCCCACATGCTCATAGAACAGCATCCAGTAACTATTTGTTGTCGTTTTGCTGCACTTTATGTTTGAGCTATTGTATCATAAACCACAATGGAAACAGAGATTATGGTGTCACATTAGCATCACCTGCACTGAAAAGCGGCATGATGGCTTTATTCCTCCACTAAGCCTTTCCAATAAACAACTATTCATGATACTGGAACTAAACTTAACAGGGCGACCAATAGTTTCACTTAATATGTTCGTGTCTCTTGTTTGTGTTTCGGCCTGTTGGGAAAACAGTGCCTGTAAGAGAGACCCGATAATGAATAAGAGCTGCTGAACGACAGCCATCGTGGTTCCCAAAGCTTTTATCATTTCCCAGCAGTGGAACAAGTGAGAAGGGCCCAGACTGACTGTGCTGATAGTCCGTCCGTCAGGGAGGCTTAACAGTCACAAAGGAAACTGCTGCCGTGCGCTTCATTTACTCACAGTCTGCCAGGGCTCCTGTTTACCGCCTCAATAGACCACCGGGCCACAAATAAAGAGATTGTCTCCCACGGTCTGAAACGTTTGTTTAGCAGAGTCGAGGCTGTTTAAAATGCACAGCCAGCTGTCTTCTACAGAAATGTGTTCCTTTTTAGAGTAACAGATAGCGAGTATTTGAGGGTTAATGTCGGTGTAAATGCTGCTGAGCTTGTGTTCGCCAAGGTCAGGAGAACACGCTGGAGTCTGATTGGCTGTGGGATTTCCTGGTAGAGTTTGGAGCCACCCAATGGAGAGAGAAAGAGAGAGAGAGAAAGTGGGGGGTTAGCAGGAGGTGATGAGGTAATGCCTGGTTTTTCATGAGAGAGGGTGACATCATCGCTGTGGCATTCTGGGTTGCCATGGAGAAGGAGGGGGGGAGATAAATTAAAAAGAGGGGGCGCAAAAAAGGGGGCGCGTGGGAATGGGACAAACGTGTCTGCACTGGTGTGTTCATGTGTAAGATTGGAATAAATTAAACCGGTCTAGTTTAGATAAACTCATCTTTTGAGGTAGATTAATTTGGGAGATGATTTGTCACACAAGTGTCAAACGGGTAAATGTGTTGTTGTTAATGTTTTTGGGCATCTTCCTTTATTTCTCTGGAAAAAAATGAAGGGTGGAAATTTGGCTCTGGACCAGGAATCCCAGTCTATTTATGTCTCAACTGAGGGGGAAGACAGGGGTCTCCCCCAGACAGTCTGCCATTTCCTCCGCTAGACTTTCAGCCATTTATATGTGTGTGTGCGGGTGTGTGATTGAGACCATCCCTCAATCCCACAGCCC